TTTAATGGGAAGGAACTTTAATACAATTAGGAAACAATACAGGAAAGGCAAAGAATATAGTTTCTAAATCAAGTACCCAAAGTTACCCATCCCATCATGGGTAAAAGTCCATCCATATGGGATTGGCCCAGAGCAAGGCCCCTAAGCCTGCCCCAAGTCTAAAGCATCTTCCAGTGGGGACCCACAGAAAAGGATCAGAAACAGACAGACAAATCTGGAGGGAAAAGAGCAAAATCAAAAACCACCATTGTCACCTCCCCACGGGTTTCTCACCCACATCTGTGTCACCCAGTGCACGACCACAAGGCAAGTGCAGTTTCTTCACGTGTCTCTCGGCTCCATGTGCCTCCTCCAGGTCTCCTTCTGGGTCTCCACCCTGCTTCCTTCCTTCCTCAGTCTCCTCTGCATCTTCTCTCTCTGCTCAATGCCCCCTCCTTTTGGGTGGGGCAGGAAACCTGGAACCTCCCCTTTCCTGGGGTCCACCCTGTTACAAATTGACTTGTGTTTTGATTTTGCTCTTTTCCTTTCAAAATTTCCTGGCCCCTTCTGACCTTCTCCCATGTTCTCCACCAGCAGGTGCCTTAGACTTGTGGCAACATTTTGGGCTTCAGTGGCCCTGCTTTGGGCTGACGCTGTTTGGCTGAGCATGTATCCACGAGGGGACTGGTAACTTGGGGTGCTTCATTTGGAAACCACATTCATTCTCTTCTATTGCACATTAATTCCATTAAAATTCTTTTCAATTGAAGGTCTTATGCACTAAGATCATGTTTGTCTTTATGGAGTGGATGGCAGAACCCATTAAGGGCAAGCCTGTTTGGTGGTCCCGGATACCCCTCATTCTGCCCACTCACATTTCCACATACCTGTATCCTCCATTCCATCCCAACACCTGCAGGGGGGTATTTTGTAAATGATTGTTTTGTTTTCTGCATAATTGATGAGACCTGTTCTGTAAGTTGACATTTGCAGGCCCCTTCTCTACCTCTGGCCACACCTCAGCTCTGCAGCCTGCACGATTGTGATTGTAGAATGCCCTGCCTTTTACAGACGTTTAATGGGCAAAATGTGCACCTAGGAATTCACAAAATATTGTAGCAGAGCTGAATAGTGTTTCAAATGTACTCTTAGATAAAAGGCAAACCTTACATTTCCTCAGGACTTGGTTTAGGATGTAAAATGATGAGAACAAAGCGGCATTTGCATTTGAAAGATTTTCATTTAACTCTTCATTTGTAGAACAGGAAAAGGTATGAAATCATATTCATTCTGTGCTTACTTAACTATGGGTCTTAATTTTTTACATTATTCTTTAGTTTTTGTCTTTGTCTCTTTTTGTTTCCTACATTCTTCTTTTACTTACCTCCAACTTTCTCAAGAATGTGAGGCCCTTTAAGATCCTCAATTACCTGTGAAACCATAAAAATGGTCCCTAATATTGTTGGGACCCAGGAATGCTGAGGGACCCTGAGTTTCTTGCCATCTGTGCAGGAAGAATTCCTGTGGGAGTCAGTATAGGCGAGTTAGAAGGTGAGTGTGGGTGCGATTCATATTCAGAAAGGAGTGTGAGCAGATTCAGAGACTCCCACCTGGGTCTAAGGCTGCTGATGTAATCACTTGCTTAGTTTGAGGGGTCAGAGACTCACAGAGGGGAACTTAATGGGTTTTGTTCAGGTTTATTTAACAAAAGGGGCAGGAATTTATAGCTTGGGATAATAAGATTTGGCCAGTTTTGTTTATCAAAAGCTCCTGACCCCTCACCTCCTATTAAATAGGATAGGCGAGGTTTTATAACTTAGTGGCACCTGCATTGAAATAAACTAGTAGGGTTAGAAGCAAACTAATAGGGTTTGAGTCATTTTACTCTGAAATGTGCACAGCTGTTTTTCAGAAATGTTGGCTGGGGGAAGTAGGGACTGCAGCCTTTGTGCTAAATTCCTGCTCTACCTCAATAAAAACTAATTAAAATAATTATTAAATATGAAAGGCCACCCTCATCATTAACTTTCAAGGTAGCAGTATGTTCTTCCTGTTTCTAAAAAGCATTCAAGATTTCTTTCTTCTGTCTCCTTCCTGACAATCTCTTAGTGAAGTTGAATGGGAGATGTTGCGTTCAGAGAGTGGAATCCTTGGGTTAACTCTAGGAAATGTTTCCCCAGAGATGCCCTTTCAGTAGCTGTAGGGTAAGTAAAATACCAGGCTTTTCTGCCCTCCCTCATTAGGTTTGATGATGGATACCTGCGGTCCTGAATGAATGCCTGATGGCAGGCACCTGGAGTAGGGTGTGGGTATACTTAGGTGGATACTCCTGGGCTGAGAGACTGGGCTTTTAAGAGTGGCATCATGGGGACGCCAGTGGAACTGTAACAGGGTGGTCCCCAGGAAAGGGGGAGGTTCCCTGCCCCACCCAAGGGAGGGTGGAGCTGAGCAGGAAGAGGAAAAGCTGCAGAAGAGACTGAGGAAGGAAGCAGGATGGAGCCAGGAGACCTGGAGGAGGCGCATGGAGCCTAGAGACACGTGAGGAAACTGCGCTTGTCTTTTGGTCGTGGACTGGGTGACACAGATGTGGGTGAGACCCGTGGGGAGGTGACAATGGAATTATCCCCCATCAGTTGGAAGTTCAGCCTTGATAGTTAATTCCTTTGGCAGCTTTTATCTTGATGTTGATTTTGCTCTTTTCCTTCCGGGCTTGTCTGGTTGTTTCTGACCCTTTTCTGTGGGTCCCCACTGGAAGATGCTTTAGACTTGTGGCAGGCTTTGGGGCCTTGTTCTGGGCCGATCCCATATGGATGGAGTTTTACCCATGAGGGGATGGGTAACTTTGGGTGCTTCATTTAGAAACTAGACTCTTTGCCTTACCTGTTTTGTTTCTTAGATGTATTAAAGTTCCTTCCCATTAAAAAGTCTCATGTTTTGTGTTGATGCGGCGGATGGCAGAACCCATTTAGAATAGGCAGGTTTGTGGGGTTTGGGCTGCCCCTCTCCCTGTCCTATTACAGATTAACAGAGGGAGAGAGCAGGAACAGCAAAGAAGCAGAGGCCATGAGAGAAGGCCGGAGAGCACAGAAAGAGTGAAGACTTGCTGTGGGTTGGGAGGCCTGCCAGCCTCCCGGCACCCCCGGCCCCTCTGCCTGCTGTGTACCTGGTAAATCCCAACAAAAGCCTGAAAAAGCCACTGATGGCTCCAGGACACCTCCTTCACCCATCAGCTAGGTTCATAGAAAACCTGCACTGTGACCTTCTGCTGGAGCATCACACAGTGAGATTCCCAGGCAGTTTCTCCATGAGACAGAGATTTTTAGTTGTCCAAAAGGGCAGGTTTATTATGAAAAAGGGAGAGAATAATAAAGACAGAACGAGCTTCCCCCAAAAGGACAGGTTTGCTAAAAGAGAGGTCTGTACAGTTAAAGGTGGGCAGCCTTGGGAGGAGAGCTGCCTCTGCTGCTTTGCAAAAGCTGAAGGTCAGTGAAGAGGAGCAGAGGCCTGGTCACAGGTCACGGGCAGGCAGGAGGGCTGCTGCCCCTTGCCAGTGCAGAAATTGCACTGATATCATTGTCTTCTCTTTGGGAGGGGCTCTTTTCTTTGTGTATCAATAGTTGTTAATTTTTGTTACCCTAATTACTTCTTGGTTGCAACTAGCTTGATGTCTAAGGACTGGGATTGTTCTACAATGGCCCTCAATTTCCATATCCCCCTCTCTGGTTTGCACCTCATGGTACTTCCTATAGCCCTTTGATATTGGCTGTAGCAGTTGGCCCCAAGGAATTTTCATTTCTATAGCTGATTAAATGACTATGTTAATTACTTCTACCCCTACCTCTAGCTCCTGGGAATGAATGAGCCAGGTTTCTGGTATGTGAGGCCTCCTTTCCAAATTTTCTTCTCTTATCCCCCATCAGTTGGAAGTTCAGCCTTGATAGTTAATTCCTTTGACATTGGTGCTGAAGAAATTGGGATAAAAGTCAATGGTCTCATCCTCCTCTTGTAACAGGGTGGTCCCCTCTCACCTTCTCGGACCACGCTGGTGGCCCATAGAAAGGGAGACAACCAAATAAGGAGACCCCGGCATCCCTGGCCAATCAACTGAGTTCGAGTTGCGCCCGCGCCAAAAATGCCTTTCAGTAACCAATGAGTAACTGCCAGCTTGTTTTAAAATTTAAGTCTGCTTGTAACCCTATAAATATCTTCCTATTTCTCGGTTTGGGACTCTCACTGTTAGGGGGAAAAGGATGTCCTAAAGCTAATTCCATGCCCTATAACATCACCATCCACCGCTGTGTTGGTGAGTGTCGTGAGTCCAGACTTGAGTCTGTATTAAACTCCCTTTAGTGCTTGCATCAGCTGTCCTTGATTTCTTGGGGGCTGCGTTCGTTGTTCACGGGCACAACAGTTTGTGAAAAGAGACATAAAAAAATTGGTCCATCAAGTAGATATTTTTGAAAAGACAGAAAATCCTGAGAAAAGCATGTCATTTGCCAAGATGTCATATGCTGTGCAATTAAGGAATACAACCATGTTCTATGAATTTTTACTCTTGTTTGGAAAAAAAAGTCATTGTGAAAGCAATTTTGGTTATTTTTAAATATTGTTTTGACTGATACACCACGAGGAGATATTAGCCACATGGGTCATGGGTCACAAGTTTATAATTGGTACTGAAAGTCTCCAATTCAAATGTATTTGGAGCAACACAAGGAAAATAGACAAAGTGTTTCCCTTTACAGAAGGGTGAATGCTGCAAGCTAGAAAAGATTAAAGTAAATCGATTTAAACTATTCAGATTCAAATGTTTCATTAACACATTGAACAAACAATAGCAGCTTCAATTTAACTGGAAGTAGACAGTGTGAAACTTTACACACATGATGTAAAAAAGATAACTTTTTGGTCACACTTGTCATGGGATATAAATTAACAAGAGAAAGAGATTGGATTCAAGGTTATGTTGAAGATCTAAAAGTAATGCCTGATATTAAGTGCTGCTTTTGTAATAGGGTAATCCCCAAGAGAGAGGAAGTTCCAGGTTCCTTGCACCACCTTAAGGAAGGTGGAGCTGGTCCAGGAGGCTCCCTGCCCCACCCTAAGAAGAGTTGCTGGGGAGGGAGTGGAATCTGGGAAGACAGAAGGACTGAGAGAGAAAATCTGGCTGAAGAGAAGTGTTGAAGAAAAGAGATCAATCAGGAAGAGCACCTGGAGAAGGCACAAGGCGCAGAGACTTGTGAAAAAGCTGTGCTTGCTTCTTGGCCTTTGACTGGTTCCAGGGACTTGGAGAACATGGAAGGAGACACTTGAAACAGACCTGGGTGAGAGAGGGGTGTAAGGATTGGTGTGATAAAGAGAAGGAGAGCCAGGCCAAGTTTCTAACAGGCAGAAACTTTCCTGAGCCCGTTGTGGGGGGAGATGTCCTTTTATAGGGTGAGGAAAGGTTAGGAGGGAAACTGGGTATGCGGAAACTAAGTTTTTTTGGGTGGTTTCTGGTTGATTGCTATCAGGTCCTGTTTGTGTCCAGTTGAGGCCTCTGGTTCCAGGAGCTGAGGCAAAGGTGGAATTCCCTCTGCAGTTTCAAGGGCCTCCTTGTGCCTTGGCAGGCCCCCTGCACCGACCTTACAAGGGGTAAGGAGGCTAAAAATGGCAGCCTTTATATTGATTTTGCTCTTTTCCTTCCAGACTTACCTGGCCCCGTCTGCCCCTTTCCTTTGGGTCCCCATCAGAAGGTCCCTTAGACTTGTAGCAAGTTTTTGAGCACCCTGGCACTCTGCATCCTTCTTGGGCTGGTTGAGTAATTAATTTCAGATAGATTACTAGGGAAAAAACAACCCCTAAAGCCAGTGAGGCAAATTGAGGGTATTAGCATCTTGACCAAAGGAAGGGAATAGGGTCAGGGGCTTTAAGCATGGAGGAAGAAAACTCCCCTAAGGAGAGGGTGTCTCATGAGAAAGACATGTTCTATAATGATTTTTTTTTGTAAGATTTATTTATACAAGAACCAGGGTACAGGTCAGAGGCACAGAAGGGTGAGAGGATTCACCAGAAACAGAGCGGTGAACGGAACAGGCAGATTGATGAAATACACTGCCGAGGGGAGCAGCAGGCAAGGCAGGAGAGGTCTGCCATGCCATGTGGGTTTCTCTCTGGCTGACTGGGAATCGAACCCGCGCTGCAGAGGCTGCGGACAGCTTCACAGGGCAGCGCTCAACCCTCTGAGCCACGGGGGAGGCCTTCTGTAATGAATGATGTTTGCCCTACCGCAGAGATAGATTTGGGCCAAAATTATAATTCTGAGTAAGCTCCTCAAGTTTTCATTACAAATTCAGTTTTTTAAGGTAATTAAAGGAGGATAAAATTTCTCTGCAAGGCCTCGATTGACCTCAGCTCAAAATAATTCACATGCCTAAGTGGCACATGTTAGAGAGGTCTGCTCTGGATATCTCAGGAGGCAATGTTCTCTAAACATTTGGAGAGGAATATTCTTAACATCTTGGGGAGGCCAAACCTTCATGTGACAGAAATCATTGTGACTCTCACCTTTCCATTTTCTGGTGTGTTTTTGGCCATCCCCAGAATCTCCAATCAGAGGAGGAGGTCCCTTCCTCATCAACTGGCCAAAGAGGAGTCAATTCAAGTAGAGGTAATGGTCTCCTGCAGAATAAACATTCAAAAACTATGTTTTGAAGTGAATTAGAATTCACAACTAAGAACTAGCATAGGAGATAATATATAATACAAAAATTAATGAGTGGCCAATGTGTACAGTTTGCAAAATCTTTAGATGCTTCTACAGCTGAAAGTTAAAAAACAAACAAATGAAAAAACCTTAACAAAACCAGTAAATCGCTATTTCCTGAAGGAGATGTTTTATAACATTTAGAATGTTGAAGAAAGTACCAAATTATTTCTGAAAGACTGGTTTTTGCAAACAGTCTATCCTGGGGGCTTCAGCCTAGTTTGGTCTTTAGCCTAAATAGCCTGAAACTGCCTCAGGAAAGAAATGCCTTTAGCTTTCCTGCTTTCATTATCCTGCCCGTAGGCTGTGTTAAAAGAAAAAGGTAGCCTCCTAGTTTGCTATTACTTATAGAAAGTTTGACTGTCTGGTCATGTAAAAAAAAGCACAGGGGACTTGTGCTGGTATTGCTTCACATTTTACCTTTTCACATTAAAAAAAAAGCCAGCAACTCACCAGGTGCCTATCAAAATGATGAGAGGACTCCAGGGCAGGAGGCTCTGTTGCTCCCCATGTGCACTTGTGAAGTTTGCCTGTTAAAGTAGCTGCTCAATAAACACTTGTTGGCTAGATGTATGTGCTATGGTGGCCTAGCAATATATTGAGATAGCATTCTAGAAACATTTACCAGCTAAGCAAATTATGACATTATTATTATACAGCCCTGCATACATTTTTTTTATTTCCTTTGAAAAACTCCTCACACCATTTGACATTATAATCAATACATTTCATAGTTGCCATTTCAATCAGATTTTATTTTTCCATTCTCCTAAACTGATTTTTATTAGATTATGAAGAATGATAAATAATAAAGTTAACAAATTTTGCTGCAATCTGTTCATAGTCCATTACCACAGCTACAGCCTTTTATATGGAGTTATAAAGGCCTTTTCCCAATTAATGACCATTTGAATTGATCACTTGGTGCTTTATCAGCATATCTTCTTCTTTCCAGAATTCTTTCTTGAAATAAACACCACAAAAATGAAATCTATGTTATATACAGAACATGAACATTCAGCATATTAGATTATCTAGTAAAACATAGGGTAGCAAATTTATGTAACTTTCACAGCAATTTATTGAATATTTACTGAGTGTCAGGCACTGTATTAATTGTACATGTTCCTCTGTTCCATTTTCCTCATAGGCCTTTAAGTAGGTTACATCAAGTCCGTTATGTAGGAAATGATACTAAACCTAATGAAATACCTTTTCCTTAAGGTATGTAACTAGTCAGTGGCTATAATGGTTAATTTTATTTCTTACCTTGATTAGACCATAGTACACAGACATTTGGTAAGTCATTATTCTAGGTATTTTTATAAAGCTGCATTTGGATGGAATTAACTAAAGGAGTAGACTGATATATTACTATGGCTAATGCAGATTGTTCTCCATGATGAGGGTGAGACTCATCCCAGTAGTTGAATGACTTAAGAAAAAGACTGAAATCCCCAGAGAAAGAAGGAACTCTGCCAGCAGCCTCACTGCAGACTCAAACTGCATTTCTGTTAGTGTGTAGACTGAGGGGCAATCAAAGATCCTTGAACTTTGCACAGTCTAAATAGGTTCTGCCATCCACCACATAGAGACAAAACATTTTTAGTACATAAGCTCGTCAATAGAAAAGAACTTTAATATGATTAATGTACAATAAAGAGAAGAGAGGATAATCTTTTTTTTTAAGATTTTTTTTATTTTTGCATATAAGAACTGGGGTATAGGCCAGAGGTGAGGGGGGTAAGAGGATTCACCAAAGACAGAGTGGGAAACAAAAGCAGGTGAGTCTACTGAAATATACTGCTGAGGGAAGCAGTGGGTGAGTCAGGAAAGGTCTGCTGTGCCATGTGGGTAGCTTCTTGGCCGGGGGATCGAACTCATGCCACAATGGCTGGCAATAGTTTGATAGTGCTTAGACTATAACCCCTCCGCCACCAAAGAGGCCCAGGATAATCATTGTCAGTTAAACACCCAAAGTTACCCATCCCCTTGTATGTCAATGATCAGCCAGACAGGGTTGGTTCAAAGCAGGGCCACTGAGACCCAAAGGGTTGCCTGAATTCTAAGGTACTTCTGGCAGTGAGCCATAAGAAAGTGAGAAGGGGCCAGGCAATTATGGAAGGAAAAGAGCAAAATCAGACCACAAGCCAAGATAAATGCTATCATAGTCAGTCTTCTCATGGGTCTCTCACACTCAGGGTTGCTCTACAACAACATGACTTCCAAATGTCTCCTTCCATGTCCCCCAAGTCTTTCGTGCAAGCCCAAATCTGAGGAGCAAGCATGGCTTCTTCATGTTTCTCTGCTTCATGTGCCTCCTTCAAGTCTTTTTTCTAAGTCTTCAAGTACTTTTAGCTTCCCCTTGTAGCTCAGCTCCATTCTTCATTAGATGGGAGAGGGAGCTTGGAACCTCCCCTTTGTAGATTACACTGCTAGAATTCATTCCTGCAGTTCCATTCTGGCAGCCTACTATGAAAATTTTGAACTTGCCAATTTATAGAATCATGTGGCTTTTTAAAAATAAATTTCTAGGGCCTCCCCGGTGGCACAGCAATTGAGCGCTGGGTTGTGAAGCTGCCTGCAGCCTCCGCAATGCTGGTTCGATCCCTGGCCACCGGATGAGGGTCCCACATGGCACGACAGACCTCTCCTGCCGCTCACTGCTCCCTCAGCAGTGTACTTTGTCAGTCTGCCTGCTCTGCTCTCCGCCCTGACTCTGGTGAATTCTCTTACCCTCCTGCACTTCTGACTTGTATAAATAAATAAATAAATCTTAAAAAAAAAATAAACTACACAGATATGTTAAAAAAATAAAATAAATTTCTAAATAGAAGTCCAATTTTTTTTTTTTTTTTTTTTTGTATTTCCCTCTAGAGAAACTTAATTGAGTAGCCGAAGAAATTTAAAACAAGAATTTTCTGACTAGTTTGAGATTCCTAGAATTCTGGTAACAATAAAAATTTAAATGATGCTGCTCTATTTTTCTCCTTAAATATGTACTTATCTTTCTATAATATGTGTGTTTGTCAAGCTGACATCTTTTTGCTTCATGACCTATCCCCCATGTCAATTCACGTTTCTCTGGTCTCTTGTCAGACACACAGCACCTCCAGACTGGGGAAAGACAGTGATTCTGGCCAATTGGAATAGTACATTGTCTGATCACAGTAATGGGGCTTTCCTAGATCTCCCAGGTAAGACAAATTTCCTTCTAAAATTTGAAAAAAAACTATGAAGTAAAAAAAAAAGACTGAAAAATTATTTTCACTGAGAACAAATATAAACACTTACATTCCCTGAGGATGCCTGGAAATAAACAAAGATGACAGAGAAGTAGAAATACATAGAACTCCTAGAGCCAACCTCATTTAGCCTCACTTAGATTTCTGATATTATATATTCTGAAAGTTGAACTAATTTATCATTAGGTTCAATTAATTTTGTTTATGTTATCTAAAAATAGAAGAACTTAGGTTAAAATTTAATTACAGTAATTAAAAGAATAAATAATTTGTAACTCAATTGGCAATATTTTGTTTATTTTTATTTGGTAAGTTTTGCAATACTCATTTGTTCTGACAGGCATCACCATGGGTGATAGTAGAGCACAGACAACTATTATATGCAAATAACCATTTACTTATTTGTTAGAGCAATAGATTAAATTTATCTTCACAGAAGTATATTTATTATCCATGATAATTACAGATACACATAATCGTCCATCTCTTTACAACCATTTTGTTTTTCAGATATTATCTCATTCACATATTCATGAAGTCCTCTGAAATAGTTTGAATGGTCATGATGGCCCCCAATGCTGATGATGAATTTATTTCAAGGTTTTGAATAACTTAATATTACACAACTGCTTAATAGCAAATAAAGGTTACATAATCCAAAGAATACCAAAAATGCAGAGATTATCACGTAGCCACTAACTACAAATGTTGAATAAGTACTGTTGTATATTTATATAAATGTATATGTGGATTTGTGAGAGCTATTGTATCACATTTGTGTAGATTTGGTTCAGATTAAAAATACCTGTTTTTTTTCTAATTATTGACAATTAAATATTTTTGACCAAGGAAAGTAGTGTGCAGAAGATTAGAAATGGATGGGTTCTGTAGTAAGAAGTTACAGGAGATAATCTGAGAACAAAATAGAATTGTATAGGGAGAGTTGTTTATTTTTTTAAATCCAGTGCTATAGAGAGAAAAAGATAGGAAAATAGAAAGTCACTGATGTTTCAAAACATTTCCTACTTTTAGTAAATACAGAGATCTGAATCACATTAGTTGTGGGAAAATGAGGATTCATCTCAGAATAAGTGTTAAATAAGTTCTAAAGCATACAGCAGATACACACAAAAGGCAATAAACCTTTAATAAGGGAATATTGATTATTATATTTTGAAAAATTCTTTCTCACTAGGTAGAGATGTTAAATTTTTTAATAAAATATCTTTCTTGAAAGATAGCTCTATAATTGGAAGAATTTTAAGCCCTAAGGGCTACTGGATGAATACAGAGAGTTAAAGTTTTTTATTAGTCAAAAAAAGACAAGGTGTTTTGGACTGATGTTTTGAATATTATGAAGATTCTATAAAAGGTGATTCTAAGATGAATTTAAAATATGCTTTTGGTATGGCCTCTGTAATGAATATACATAATAGGGTATGATAATATATCTAAATGCCTAGATACATCTAAAGGAAATACTGGGTATTCAGAATAATTATTTCACAAACTGGTATTGTTCCAATTAATCTCTGAAAATTAAATCTGATCATGCTCAATGCTACTAAGAAAAAAAAAAATTCAGGTTTTCTTTTGCTAACAGGATGATATCTAAACTCTTTAAAATCTGCTATCTTACTCAATCCAGTCTCATCCTCTAAGAATGCAAATCTAGTCACTTCAATTATTACCACAATTTCTTAAATTCTGTGGGACCTTTACACTGATGCTATTTTTTACATCCTATTTTATAAAAAATACCCTGCATTCTTTTTGTTTTTGCCTAATCCTAATTATCCATCAAGGCCTTGCCAGCTGAAAGCTGACTTCTATCTTTAAGCCTTTCTTGGCTTCTACCTTGTTTACTTTCATTTTATTTTACTCATAATTTCATATTATATTTTTCTCTCTGTACTATAAATATCTGTTTATTCCTCTTTTTCTAATAAGATAGTGAGTTCATATAGACCTAGTTCCATGCATATTTAACATTCATTTTCCTGATATTGAGAGTGTGACTCGGGTATAACAAATACTCATTATATTTTAAACATTCAAATAAGTGAATGAATGAATTACAAATTTTTTCTATTTTTGGCGGTGTATTCTATTAGAAGAAGTCAAATAAAGAAAGAGACAAAATCTATGTATAAAGGATTTAGATACTATTACCCATTGTGGAGCAAAGGAAATACATTTAGAGATTGTTCCAGACATAAAATGTAACTGTCATTTCTTCCATATACAATCAAGTACTCTTTTGAAGGTTTTTGAAGATTTCCATTTTGTCTCTCAAGATAAAAATGGAATAAAGTGAATTTTATTCTAGCTTGGGCATTTTGGGAACGTCTATTTTTAATCAAAGAACTTAGATTTTCAGTAAAATAGAAGTCCAAACTTATGTGATGCTAATTTGTCCATCAATTCACTTTATCTCCAGTTACACTAAAATTATCCTGATAAAAATACATATTAAATCATTAGTTTATATAAATTATAGCTCAAAAAATACTACTAATAATAATGCATAAATTTGACTGTATTAAAATTAATAACTTCTATTCATCAAAACACACTGTTGAGAAAAAGTAAAAGGCAACTCACAGAGTAGGAGAAGATATTCTCAATGAATATATACAACAAAAAATATTTCTCCAGAATATTTAATGAGTTCCTGTACATTAAAAAAATAAGACAAATCAACAGAAAAATATGCCAAAACTTGAATAGGCTCTTCAAAGAGAGAAAACTATGTGGTTAAAAACCTTATCCAAAGGTGTTCAGTTCTAATAGCCATGAGGAAATGTGAATGGAATGTTCTTTCATACTATACTGGAAATAGAATTTTAGCCAGTTTTTTTCATTCTTGATCAAATGGTTTGGAAAAAAACTAATATGGAAAATACATAATTTTATATTAGGAAATGATGATAGAAGGTATAATATTTCAAGCAACAAGCTTATTTGAGCAAAACACCCTTTAGAACATTTTTTTATTAATGCATACAAGAATGAGGGTACAGGGTGCAGGCTAGAGGTGTGGTGGTGGGGTGAGAGAATTCACCAGAGACAGGGTGGGGAGCAGAACAGGCATATCTACTGACATAAACTGCTGAGGGGAGCAGTGGACCAGACAAGAGAGGTCTGCTGTGCCATGTGAGTTAGCTCCATGGCTGGGGATTGAACTCATGCTGCAGTGGCTGCCTAAAGCTTCATAGTGCTGAGACTTAACCCTTGTGCCACCAGGAAGGACCCAGAGCAAAAATAAATACTGAAATCTTCTTCATTTTGGTAACTGAATACTAGGTGACTTGGTAAGATTTGTTCCAAGCAAGTGATACATTCTGAGTTAATCATCCTCCAATGTTTGAATAACCTTCATTTGTGAAATGATATTAAAATATTATCTAGTACCTGTATTATTTTTCTTTTTCCTGGAATTTTAGTTCAGTGAGAATTATATCTTTTCTTTGAAGTATAGACTGATATATTGAAGTTAAATGTCTTAAAAGATGATTTAACTCACCTTCCATATGTCATTGGAACTCACATAATCACCAAGGGGAAGGGAAAAATAATCAATTTCATTGGTATATCACAAAAATACATTGAAAAGTTTTACTTTGACAATTATAAAACTTTGCTAAAAAAATAAAAAGAATTATGGAACAACAAGAGTTCTTTCATCTCTGGATCCTTTTCATGAGAAATCTCAAGAGAAAGCTCAGACTGCTATTTCTACATTCATCTAAAGGGGAGGAAGAGGACAAAGAATTGAAGGTGATTTTAGCAAGATTTCAGGCAATAGCACTGGTATTAAATGTTGAAGGCAGAAGGGCTACAATGTCAGGGAACTTGTAAAGATATATGAATCTATGTCTTCATTAAACTTTGAGCTTAAACTTTTTAAAGGTTCAATGAAATAGTTTTTTGCTGTGTCTCTTAGAAATCATGAATCAAATTACTGAAAATTTGGATGTGATCAATTTTTAAAAGATATTTCCAAAACATTTACCATATACATTTTTTTAAGACTTATTATTGCATACAAGAGCTGGGGTGCAGGCCAGAGATGCAGGTGGGTGAGAGGATTCACCGGAGACAAAGCAGGGAACAGAACAGGCAGACGGACTGAAATACACTGCTGAGGGGAGCAGCGGGTGAGAGGAGAGGTCTGCTTCGCCATGTGGTTTTCTCTCTGGCCGGCCGTGGATTGAACTCGTGCTGCAGAGGCTGCGGATTGCTTCATAGTGCGGTGCTTAACCCCTTGCGCCACCAGGGATGTCCATCATATGTATTTTAAATGACAGCGGCACATCTTGTGTCTAACCCTAAGATAATAAATGGCATTTTAAATAGGTATGCTTAGCTTTGAAGCTGGTCACCAGGGGTTATAAAGTGGAAATCAAAGCAAAACAATGGTTTTGAAAAAATATTCAGAAGACTCTGAAAAGACTATACTTTTAGGATTTTAGACCTTACTGAAGACCTTGAAGAATGATGCCCAAACTTTTCTAGTGCCTGCTCTATATTCCCTGTCTTTGAGAGTTGTGTTTTATTTTACCTATTTAACAGAAAATGGAAAGTTATCTTAGACTTCTTTATCTTTCAATACCTGTAATCAATGAGTTACTCCAGCAATAATTAGAATTTCTGTGAACTTTCATTCCTTATGGCCTCCATGAAATCTGTCATTTACTGGATTTTCCTAGTGGCTGCTTGAAAAATTGGAGACAAACTTTTGTCAATATCTTGTATATGTTTAATCCATAAAATATAAGTTATAACTTCCTATGAACACCATTTTCTTTCTTACTCTTAGGTTCTCAATGTCTCATCTTCTTTATTTATGACATTGTATATTTTAAATTATATCCATGTTATTAAATATTTTTCTTGGATCAAGGTAAGGCATAAATATTTTATGATTTATATTTATCACCTTAAGAAACAGTGGGCCTCCCTGGTGGCACAGTGGTTGAGCGCTGGTCTGCGAAGCTGCCCGCAGCCTCTGCAGCGCCGGTTCCATCCCAGGCCAATGGGCGAGGGTCCCACATGGCGCACAGACCTCTCCTGTCTCCCGCTGCTCCCCTCAGCAGTGTACTTCTTTGTCAGTCTACCTGTTCTGCTCCCCGCTCTGGCTCTGGTGAATTCTCTCACCCTCCCATGCTTCTGACTATACCCAGTGCTTGTATAAATAAATAAATAAATAAATCTTTTTTTAAAAAAGAAAAGAAACAGAGTATCTTGATTAATATTTTAAAATATTATTTCACTGGTGTGAAACAGGACCCATGTGTTTTAAGATTGGGGAGATGAATGGCCTCCTTGGTGGCCTAGGGGTTAAGTCTCAGTGCTATCACTGCCTCACCCCTAGTGCCTGAATTCGACTGTCCTTGGCCAGGGAGCTGACCTACATAGCACAGCAGACCTCTCCTGTCTCACCCAATGCTCCTCTCAATAGTGTATTTCAGGAGGTCTGCCTGTTCTGCTCCCTGCTCTGTCTATGGCAAATACTCTAAGGCCCTGAACCTCTGGCCGACAGCCCAATTCTTGTACGCATAATAAATAAAAAATTAATCTTAAAAAATAAATGAATCGCAGTGCGTGGCCACACTGCTGCCATTAGGTCATCTTTAACTGAAGTTTTTTGTGTACTCCCTGTCCATTGTCTTCTAACACTATCACTCATCTAAAGGCCAATATAAAAATTGTATTCTCTTTAGTGGTTAGTT